TAACCTAAATTACTAATACAGAACACAACCCTAGCACTGTTAAACGAACTTGAACAATGATTAACCAATCAATCAGGACACAACCCTGCACTGTTAAATGAACTTGAACAATGATTAAGCAAATCAATCAAAACACAACCCTGCACTGTTAAACGAACTTGAACAATGATTAAGCAAATCAATCAGGACACAACCCTGCACTGTTAAACGAACTTGAACAATGATTAACCAAATCAATCGGGACACAACCCTGCACTGTTAAACGAACTTGAACAATGATTAACCAAATCAATCAGGACACAACCCTGCACTGTTAAACGAACTTGAACAATGATTAAGCAAATCAATCGGGACACAACCCTGCACTGTCAAACGAACTTGAACAATGATTACGCAAATCAATCAGGACACAACCCTGCACTGTTAAACGAACTTGAACAATGATCAGATAAGTTCACAATACAATTCCTCAGCTTCACCCGGAGTTCAATAATAATTAGATAAATCAGTACAAAACCCTGGTTTTTACATAAACGTCATGAATTCGATATTGTAAGACATAGTGTGTATCTGTCTGTCTGTCTCTTGGTCACGTAATGATGTCATATCACCTTATCATGTAATTTAAGTAGTTTGGCTTCCTGTCAATTAGAAGCGAGTAGTCTACGATTGGTTGAAAATTAAAGATATATTTGGTCTAAAATGTACAAAAAATTGCAACTTTTTTGCAAAACGTATCTTTGTTAAATCGCCCAGATACGCCAGAAAGGACGTAAATATACTTTAGTAGACACTTTATACAACAAGTTAAAAGCTTATCAATGTTTTTAAAAAAGGTCTAACGTTAGGTCGCCAAATAATATTAGAATATTATTTACTGATAGTATTAAGTGCAGTAACGTTTAGCCCTAACCGAACTAAATCAAAAAACGTATACAAGTTATAGTGTTAATTTATCTCTTTATCGAATATAGGCCGTACTTAATAAAGGCTTAACTAATGTTAGGCCTAAGACAAGTGGACTTGTACATTTCAGTGTCTGCGATTAGAATGCTTTTGTTAAGTGCGGTAACGTTTAGCCCTAACCGAACTAAATCAAAAAACGTATACAAGTTATAGTGTTAATTTATCTCTTTATCGAATATAGGCCGTACTTAATAAAGGCGTAACTAATGTTAGGCCTAAGACAAGTGGACTCGTAGATTTCAGTGTCTGCGATTAGAATTATTTTGTATTACTCTACAAATCCTGTATTTAAAGAACTGTTCCAATAAAGATACTAATTTGGCCGCAAATGTTTTGTGGGTCTCTGCTAGTTTAATAATATAAATCAGAACATAATTTCACATTGGTACATTAATTTGAATCTCAAAATAGATATCAACTTCCTCAATATTGCTATTTAGGTACTGCTTATTACAGTAACCTATACCCCCAACTGTTGGATTGTTTTAATACACCAGTCAAAACTTTTATAAATCCGTATACAAGTTGCTCTAGTTTTCGGTAGCTTAAACATTTGTGGCTCACTTGAAGTTTTTATTCTCTAAGTAATCTATAGGAAATACTCTCTATGTTTGTCATTGAAAATCATCACACACAAAGTAAGGTATGCATGGCTCCCACAAGCGTCTCTCTTACAGGTGCAACTAAAATACCACCAAAAACAACAAAAGAAAGTACCCGACCAAAACGTTTACTGCTGTACTTATAGGTACGCAGCCCTAATGTCATTCTTCGTAATATACATTTAAACGTGCTGTAATTTTTTAACATCCTACATTATTTAGCTCCAAAATAAAAACACTTAATAAAGAACTAAAACCTTACGACAATCAATCTTATTTTCTTAAATTATTGTTGTCGAAGGAATCGAGGTGAATACTTTTCCCATACAAAGGACGAACTCTAATGATTCATCCCTCACAATAAGTTTCTAAGAAAATATCAAGATCTATGAGCTGAGATCTTCACATACATACAAGAGAAATGAAGAAATCAACTGAATACAATGGGAAACTCCAAAGTCCAGAAAAAACATAACCTGACCTTACCGAAAGTTGCTTAGCAGCCTTGGTATTATACTTTCATCAATGATATTATTTTTTGCAAAATTATATCTCAGTCTTATTATTTTATATAAAGACTTCTCTGTTAACATTATTATAGTTTATAAACATTCATTTCACTTAATTTATAGACACGTATTTATAAACATTGATACAATGAACAGAAATAAATATCAATTCGATACTTCATACATAATTCTAAATATTTATACAGAGCAATCTATCAATCATGATCCTCTATACATAGCAATCTATCAATCATGATCCTCTATACATAGCAATCTATCAATCATGATCCTCTATACATAGCAATCTATCAATCATGATACTCTATACAGAGTAATCTATCAATCATGATACTATATACATAGTAATCTATCAATCATGATACTGTATACATAGCAATCTATCAATCATGATCCTCTATACAGAGTAATCTATCAATCATGATACTATATACATAGTAATCTATCAATCATGATACTGTATACAGAGCAATCTATCAATCATGATACTATATACATAGTAATCTATCAATCATGATACTGTATACAGAGCAATCTATCAATCATGATACTATATACATAGTAATCTATCAATCATGATACTATATACATAGTAATCTATCAATCATGATACTGTATACAGAGCAATCTATCAATCATGATACTGTTTTCAGAGCAATATATCAATCATGATCCTCTATACAGAGTAATCTATCAATCATGATCCTCTATACAGAGTAATCTATCAATCATGATCCTCTATACAGAGCAATCTATCAATCATGATCCTCTATACAGAGTAATCTATCAATCTTGATCCTCTATAAAGAGCAATCTATCAATTTTGATCCTCTATACAGAGCAATCTATCTATCATGATACTGTATACAGAGTAATCTATCAATCTTGATGTCGTATACAGAGTAATATATCAATCTTGATACTGTATACAGAGAAATCTACCAATCTTGATGTTGTATACAGAGTAATCTAACAATCTTGATATTGTATACAGAGTAATATATCAATCTTGATACTGTATACAGAGAAATCTACCAATCTTGATGTTGTATACAGAGTAATATATCAATGTTGATACTGAGTATAGAGTAATCTACCAACCTTGATGTTGTATATAGAGTAATCTACCAATCTTGATGCTGTATACAGAGTAATCTATCATCTAGATACCGTATACAGGGTTAACTGTTAATCTTGATACTGTATATAGAGTCATATGACACTATTGGTACTTAATAACGTAGTTTTCTCGGTATTTTATTCAGTTATCTATCAATCTTATGATACTAAAAAAATCATTTTAGAAAATTGTTAAGTCAATTAGTTATACATGCTGACAAAAACAAAACATTATAATGAGCTCGTTAATCATGCAAAAAAAACAAACTATATTTCACTTTCGTAAAATGAAACAGCATGTAAAATAAACCTCAACAAATAAAGTGGGTATATGAAGAATTATGATGTACTGTGTTATTTTTCATCACTGAGTGGGCGTTATTCGCTTTCTACACGAGTTATGCTACATTGAACTTTGTAAGTCATACTACAGATAATAAGATTATGTATTATAAAAAGAACTAATGAATTAATGCAAAATAATGTATGGTTTTGAAAGAGGGTAGTAATAATATAATAATCTTTATTTCATCACATTAAATGAAACAGAATTCCACAAAACTAACATTTCGTGAATTGTCCGTTTGTTTTGAATTTCGCGCAAAGTTACACGAGGGCTAACTGCACTAGCCATCCCTAATTTAGCAGTGTAAGATTAGAGGGAAGGCAGCTAGTCATCACCACCCACCGCTACTCTTTTACCAACGAATAGTAAGATTGACCGTCACTGTATAACGTCCCCACGGCTGAAAGTGCGAGCATGTTTGGTGGGCCCCATTTCGTGAAATGCACGTGCTGTTTTTATCTTTATTGGATTGCTCTTGTTTTTAATAATTTTGTGCTGGATATTCGCGCAAAGCTACACAAGGACTATATTTGTTAACCGTCCCTTATTTTGAAATAATAGGCTTGAGGGTTGGAAGATAATCAACAGAACCCACTGTTAACATTTTAGATATTCTAATTGATTAGTGGGATTTGATAGTCACCCTTATAACGCTACAAAATGTGGAATACCACGGGATCTTGCGGCAATGGGACGCGAACCATGGATCCTCTGTTTCACAGTCCGGCCACAGTAACACTAGATTATGCTTGGCCCTTCCAATGAAAGTATTATATATATCTGTCAATCTTATAGTGCATATAAAAGTATACGTCCATCTTCGTATAATAACTTAGTATCACTATTTAAAACTAGAGGGCCACTCAGTAGAGACTATATTTCCGCCACTTAGCGTTGATCATATTTGGCCCTCTAAAAATACCAAAATGTGTCCGTATGTCCGTCGTTATCAACGGACACGGGCCATATTTGGTAGTACAATGAGGAATAACATTCTACATATGTCCACAGTGGTGAATCGAACACCGGATTTTTGCATTGTAAGTGCTTAAACTTACGGCTGACCTACCGGGGGACGTCACAGTAGTAATCAGACCTTAGACATAACAAAACTGGACTGTAACATTAGTCGTCTATGACATTATGACTACCACAAAATCTAAGAGCGAAACCGTCAACAATTTAAAACAATTAAAACTAAAGGGGCACTCAGTAGTGTGCATATCTCCGCCACGCAGTGTTGATCATGTCAAAAAAAATACAAAAATGTGTCCGTATGTCCGTCGTTATCAACGCACACGGACTATTTTTGGCAGTACAATGAAGAATAATATTCTACATATATGTACACCATGTTTATTCAAAATCCGTTCATTTTTGACTGAGTCATGGAGCAAAAATAGCGCGAAAAATCGGTCCCCGTGTTAACAGATAGTGAGTTTTTTTTGTAGTGTGAAAAACTGGTCCCCATGTTAACAGATAGTGATTTTTTGTAGTGTGAAAAATCGGTCCCCATGTTAACAGATAGGGAATTTTTTGTAGTGTGAAAAATCGGTCCCCATGTTAACAGATAGGGAGTTTTTTTGTAGTGTGAAAAATCGGTCCCCATGTTAACAGATAGGGAGTTTTTTTGTAGTGTGAAAAAATCGGCTCCCAAGTTAACAGATGGGGAGTTTTTGTTTTTTTTGTAGTGTGAAAAATCGGTCTCCATGTTAACAGATAGGGAGTTTGGGTTTTTCTAATGATTGCCTCTCTAGTTTGTACACAATTTATATTTTCTACATATTTTAATACCTGAACAACTTGTTTTCCTGATCATTATTTAACATTAGAAACAGCTTATTAAATCTATAAATTAAAATGTACAGTATCTTATTCCAATGTTTATTGTACGTATTTCTATCTAGGTTTCGTCCATAAAAAACCCTGATTTTTTATGCATGTGACTTTTTCAATATAAATACGTTTACGAATGTCCACGGAACTGAAACCATGTTCGTTTTCTTACAGCAACCAATCAATTGATAATAATGTTTTTGAAATGTCATTACATTTTTATTTATTTATCTACGGCAAAGCTATTGAAACTGTCCTAACACAACTCACCGCCAACTTTTGGGCTACTCTTTACCAACGAATAGTGGTAAAATTGGCCATCATATTACATTCGGTGATAGGTTTCGATCCCGCGACTCACACATTGCGAACTGAGTGCCCTAACTACCAGACCGTGTCAGGCTACAACTAAATAACAGAAAAATAAGTATACATTCTGTATATTGTAATAAAACTGATTGTAATTGTCCCTATTTAAATACAGTGACGTGAATTAATATATAATAGTCTTAAATGTGATAACCACGTTAGTTATCTTTGCTCTCGAATTAGAAAATTAATAAATATATTTAAGCAACTAAGAAGATTACTTAATTTTAACACATTAAATCTAGCATATTATGCTTTTATTCTGTTAATCTTTCAATATGGTGAACTAGGATGGAGAGGATTATATTGAAATAACTTAGAAACTTTGGTTAAAGTACAATATATATATATATATCATTATTAACATTATTCTCACTTGTCTGTAAAATAGCCTACAAATTCAATGGTTATTATTATTTCTAGAATTTTTCCTACGTAGCTGGTCAGGTGATGGTTGTCTAGTTTTGTGTTTTATTTGCTGGTTTTCTTTTCTTTAAAGACGTGAGAATATTAGCTTGCCTCCAAGAGACAGGGATGTACCCTGAAATCAGGGATAGATTGAACAGTGTTTTTAGGTGTTCAAATAATAACTGAGTTCCGTTTTTGAGTAGGATTACTTGTATGTCGTCTACTCCGGGTGCTTTGTTTTAGTGTGCTTTATAGCTATTGAAAGTTGTGTCGTTGTTATTTCGCTTGTCATGTATTCATCCAGTATGTTGTTTGTAGTTTCTTGTATTACGAGCGAGACCGGGAAGGTTGGTATAAATATGTTACTATTTTGTTTGATTTTCTTTTCTACTTGATTTCGGAAGCAATAATTCGTGTCTGGATTATTTTGTGTTTGAAAGATATTTTGTAAATGTTCTTTAATTGTTCTGCTTTCTGTGTGTTTATGTACGCTGTTTTGTTTAGTGGCTATTAGACAATTGGTATGGTTTGAATTTCGCGCAAAGTTACTCTAGGGCTGTCTGCAATATTAGACTAGAGGGAAGGCAGCTAGTCAACATCATCAACCGTCAACTCTTGGGCTACGCTTTTACCAACGTATAGTGAGATTCACCGTCACTTTATAACGGCCCCACGGCTTAAATGGCGAGGATGTTCAGTGACGACGATTCGAACCTGCGAATCGCAGCTTGCGAGTCGAGGAACCTAACTACCAGGCCTATTAAACATCGAGCAACTCAACTACCAGGCCATGCCAGGCCTATTAAACAACTATAATCAGAGGTTGCTCTTATTAATCAGTATGCGATAATCTTTTGTTGATAATGAATATTACACAAGAGTTAACTCTAAGTCGATGAATATTCTATTTAGGAACTAGTACATTTCTCAGAGAAATTCAGAATATTTTGGCCCAATGTCTATAAAAAAAAACTATAAAAATTATGTTTAAAAGTGAAATTGTTTGATGGCTAATAATTCATTATACTGAGAATTCGTTAAATAATTAGAGCATTATAAAAATATGTTAATTTTCTATTTAATATTATTGGTATTTATTTCTTGACTAACGGTGGTTATGTCCACTCACGGGATCTCTTATGTAGTCAGTCATATCACAGGATGTCTTGTGTGGTCAATTATATCACAGGAACTTTTTATATTTTGTTTTATTTTTTATTACTGTAACCTGGGCAGTTTGTTTATTGTTAAGCGTAAAGCTGCAAAATGTGCTGTGCTCATAACACGTGTCGAAACCTGGTTTTTAGCGTCATAAGTCTTCAGACTTTCCGCTGGGCAGAGAAAAAATTATTTGCTGATTGTTCTAAGATTAAGTTGTTTTATTTTATTATTTGATCAATAGTTTTTATTCTGCTTATTGAATATTTGCTTTGTTTTTGCAAATTTAAATTTTATTTCATTTATTTTTATTTTCCTTATTCATTTGTAACCAGATTTTTTTTTGAATTATTATAGTTACATCAATAAATGTCAGATAATATTACAGTTAAGTTCAAGTTTGATTGGCGTAAGCCTAATTAGACAGTAAGGAAAGTTACAAGATTGCAAAGTCTAGTTCATTGAAAAATTAAAATAAAATAACTGAATGTTTTTAAAAAAAATTAATATTAAATAACATTTATAAAAAAAAACGTTTGGAAATGTAGAGTACTTAAATTTTAGGGTTAATCATCTCGTTTTGAATGAAGGAATTCAGAGCAATGGCGATTGAATGAAAATCGTCATAGTTTATTCGAATGGAGGGGAAATTGACACAGATGTTTGCTGTGATGGCAGTGACCTCTATAATTTGTATAATATTTACTCTCTTGATGTAATAAACCACATTGTTTGGTTGTCGTGATCCGGGTAAGAATGTTATATTTTATACTTAAAACTTTTTAATGGACTAGATTGGACCACTTGTCATCTTTTAAATGTTTTGTAAACTGACAACATTATAGCTAGGCCTAAGTTAACTGAATTATGCTTGTTGAAAACTCCAGCACTGGAGTTGCATGCTTGCACCAAATAAACCTTCAAACAACGTTTGGACAAGGTATGTGCATTTTACTATACTTAATTTATAATCCCAAGTTCGTTATGCGTTTAAAAGTTGTTTAAAAAAGGTGATCTTGGGGAAAAACTAACCTCCTACTACGAGACAAACCTATATCATAAAATAAGTATGCACAACTGCAACTAAAATAAAAAGGGCGTTCTTAAGGAAAATTAACCACCTTCCATGAGACAAACTTATATCATAAAATGGATATGTACGATTGTAATCAAGATAAAAAAAATGTCCTTGGGGAAAACTAAACGCCTACCTCGAGACGAAGTCATATCATAAAATGGGTGTTCACAGGTGTAATTGAAATAAAAGGGTATTCTTGGAGAAAAGTAACCACCTACCGCAGGACAAACTTATATCACAAAACAAGCTGGGTATGTACTATTTAAATTAACATTAGATATATGTTCTTGTAAAACTGCCTACCCTTTCGTTTAAGATAACAATATAATGTTCTAATCAGCTCTATTCTCTTTAATTCCTGTAACAATACATAAGTGTATTGTTACAGGAATTAAAGAGAATGGAGTTGATTAGAACATTGTACTGTTACAGGAATTAAAGAGAATAGAGCTGATTAGAACATTGTATTGTTACAGGAATTAAAGAGAATAGAGCTGATTAGAACAAAACATTGTATTGTTACAGGAATTAAAGAGAATAGAGCTGATTAGAACATTGTATTGTTACAGGAATTAAAGAGAATAGAGCTGATTAGAACATTGTATTGTTACAGGAATTAAAGAGAATGGAGTTGATTAGATAAATGTATTGTTACAGGAATTAAAGAGAATGGAGTTGATTAGAACATTGTATTGTTACAGGAATTAAAGAGAATGGAGCTGATTAGAACATTGTATTGTTACAGGAATTAAAGAGAATGGAGTTGATTAGACTAATCAGCTCTATTCTCTTTAATTGCTGTAATGGTTGCACAGCAAAGTTCACTCCTGTCCACTGTGTACAAAAAAATGAGCAAGTTACCTGAAGTAGAACCCCACATAACTACAAAGTAAGCTGAAGGATATTGTAGAAGAAACGTTGTGACCAATACATTCAACAAATGCGTTTTAAATAACAGGTTCAGTACCGTTAGGATCTAATGATATGTTATACCATGTTGTAACATAACATGATGAAGCAATTTACCAGCTTGAGATAATCTGTCGCTAGATATATAACAACAAAAATATAACAACAACAAAAACAAAAAATTAGGATAATGGATAAAACATTTGCACAATATATCTGCCACTGAGGCTCATTCCAAAGTTCCAACAAACAAACAACAACAAGAGAATTTAACGTTTGTAACTTAAGGTGCAAAGCATAAAATGGTCTCTCAAGAAATTGAAAAATAAGACTAAATTCAACATAATCCTGTTATGAAAGTAAATAATTTCATCGGGTGTTGTACACTGCATGCATATGTATCAGAAGCGCAAAGCCTGTAAAGTGATCGCCAAGCTTACTGTACATGAACAAAAATCAAAAAGAAAAGTACAGAAGGAAAATTCACTTTGAGTTATGATACCGTTCTCTTTAAAATTCAGAAAATTATAAAACATTCTTATCTTATTTTCTCATTATGGCGTAAAGAAAACTTGATAAAAATAATTTTAATTAATAAACTTATTTAACACTAGCTTAATTAAAAACACACACCCTAAAAGCACAATAAATAAAAATATAGTACCTTCTGCCACCTATTGGTACGAATATAAAGCATTTTGGTGCAACCAGTGAGCGGAGTGTTTGAGCATCTTTGCGCGAGAAAGTCAGCATATTAATAATAGTTTTCAATAATAGTTGTTAGATGTGTTATTTCTTTCCGTCCATGTTACTACACTTGATTCTGTAATAGTTTATCATCATAAAAACCTTAGAGTATCAGTTAATAATGCATTTATTTTCACTGACCTAACATTCATTAATAACAACAAAATCATATTATATTCAGAGCCGTACTGGTAGACCTTGGACTAAGCAGATGTGTGGCGATATTTATTTATACGCTTTTAGATATATTATTATCTTTTACACATTTACCAAGTTCACATATTCCTTATGTGATAATTTTAGTACTACATAAATTGCGATCCAATATGCTTATCTGCTTCCCGTGAGCAAAAAGGCTCCAAGAGCAACTGAGAAGTCTTTGTTTGTTTTCTTGAATTTCGCACAAAGTTACGCCAGGGGGCTATCTACGCTACCATCCATAATTTAGAAGTTACAGACTAGTGGAAAAGCAGCTAATGAATACCACTCGCCACTAACTCGTAAATTACTCTTGTCAGACCGAAAGTGGGATTTGACCGTTACTCTTATAACTCCTCGAGATCCCAACGTATACCTGGATTTACATTCATGTTGGTTATCAAAATTAAAGTAAGGAGAAGAAATCGGAGTATAAATTCACTAACATGAAGCTAATCTGTACAACAATAATTATTCATGTCGGTTTCCACTTTATTATGTTACCATTCGCATTTAAACCGTGAAGACAAAAACAAAAAAGTGATACAGAATTAGTTTCATTAAATAAGTTACTTCTTGGTTTTAATCTCACTAGTTATTTATAATCGTTAGATCATCTGTAAAATAATAAGGGTGCTTCAAGTTCCAAAACTTCAATTTCGTGAAAAATTACTATCTGCACTTTAATCCTCAAATTACCTGCTTGTTTTTTACCGCTTACTAGCGGCAGGGTCTACATATTGAGTGAAAAAAACACACAGGGAATCCCAACGGTTAATTAAGGGAATTCATTGCAACACTAGTGATATCTATTTTAATTTTTTGTCACTTAATTGTGTGCATAAATAGTTTAGAAAAATGCGTTTATAACTCCGATGAGGCACATACATCCACTGGTAAACTTTAGGGTTAAGCAAAAAAAATAATAATAAAAAGGTTTCCAGAGCGTAAACTCATCCACAAATTGTGGCATTATATCTTACATATATATAACATTAGGAACCGAATAAGCACAGAGTTTGTGAAACAGCAGATTTTAATTATGTTTACATGTTGGTCATACTACTGAAATTAATGCTGTCACACCTATCAAGTAATTCACTCAATTAAGGGTATACCAACACGCCCAGATATAAATAAATTAATAAACTAAGCGGGTGATATTTATTATACTCTTTGAAACACTGAAAACTTCAATGGTAACTTGAAAAGTAAAAGTTATGGTAAATGTGTGTGTGTGTGTGTGTGGCAATAGGGCGGATCTAGTTTCCCGCCATCGTGAAAAATTAGGCTAAAGAAAAAATAGCTACAGCTTTTTTCTTTTTTCACCTCACTGTCATAATGATGTATTACAACAAGGGAAAACGTTCTGCTTCACAAAAAATGGTACTTTTACGTCATTTGGTGGCATTAGTTTTCGTTTGTTTTCTTTTTTTTACGCGTAATTCTTACAATTACAGAAGAAAAATAATAGATGGGCACCAAGAAAGTAATTGTTATTTTCTATTTTCAGAAGATCGCAAACACTGTAATTGTTTTATAAATGAAAATGTTGCCCTTCTTTTATAGAATGGGATTTTGTTCTTGTTATTAAAATACACCTTGAAATCATTCAACTTGGGATTGATAACACAAATATTGGGTTACTCCATTTATCTTTGTTTTATTATCTTTCTAAAATTCGTTTGTATATATAGATTCTTACAAGTACTTTCAATAACACACTTTCCAAAAGTGCAACAAGAAACAGACTATCTATTTATTTCAATCTATGCTTTTGTTTTCTTCACATCATTTTGCTCAGTGAGTGCGCTAGTGTTGGTGTTAATCTACCTCAAGCTAAAATCTGGCATTTTTTTTTGGAAAAGTTGTAATAATTTTTCTAGTTTACCTCAAACTACTTTGTAAATCACCTGAACTGTTCATCACATTACGTATATTGTTCGATTTCGGAATGTTTATTGTGTACGTCATGTAGTACTAAGAAAAGTACAACCTTCCCCATAACATTTCTTTATTAAAACACGTTTATATATTGCATTATATCAAACCTGTTTGACTTTTAACCTAGATCAACAACCCTTGACTTTTGATCTGGAGCTCTTGTCTTCATGCCCTATCACCTTTAATGCCATATCCACTGAAGTCAAACTGGCGACCTTCTATTGCATCAGCTACTTTGGAAGAGGGGATCCTGAAATGGACGCAATCATCTTTGATGATCATTGATGACAGAACAAGTCCTGATATGTAGTTGATGACGAAACGGAAGATGATCCATAGTTTTCGTGAACTTATGATGAAATTCATGAAATACCCTCTGTAACTTATTCTTTGTAAATACACATGACTATTTCAAGCCGTCCCACCGTGTAAACACATGATATTTTGGTGTCACATGATCCAACTTGTTGCTTCACGTCAGTTCATAAGAGGTCGTATTTTGGGTAATTTTAAAATGATCACCCAAAATTACGAAGAAAAAAAAACTGACCACATAAAGTGGGATGTATGAAAACGTTGCCCACGCCAGAAGGTTTTAATCCGATGTAGGAATTTGTTTTACAAACTGGGTCCTCTGAAATAGATGAATCCAAAATCTGTCATCTTCAGGTCAACCGGATATCACGTCTCATGAGTCAAGGGAAAAAATTGAAAGGGCGGGATTAAAGGTCAAATTAACAATTAGGAGCTATAAATCTAAACCAAACATAAGACAGGCTTAGTTAGTTTAATTCCATTCTACCTCTGACAACCATAATTTCCAGCATATCTATAAATATCACTTAACATGAGAATAGATACTTTCACTATTGATACTTTTCGAAGAAAGACCTGCCCTCCCAAAGGCTCTGAGATTATTGGGTTTCTTTAACTTGTGTTTCTTGTGGTTCCATGTACTCTCCAAGTAGCATGATTAAAAAAAAAACAGAATATTCATCATTACTTTTAGGAATATTCAAACGTTTTGTCTTCGAGAAAAGTTGAAACCCTTCAATAATTAATTTTACAATTCACAGGAGAAAGGTTCGTTTATTTAAAAAAATAATTTAAATCGCTACGAGTACGAGTCTGCTAGCAGCTGAAAATATGCAGAAACGTTTGGCATCACTGAATTCCTCAACTTCACAAATGTGACATTTGATACTCACGTTCTAACCACGTGGCGTCGTCTTGGTGGCACGTGCTGTTGTACGTCTGTCTCTCTTGCTGATAAGATTTATGGATGAAAAGAAAACTGAAAATCAACAACACAAAAAGGCTAACTTCGTACGTTGGTGATGCACAGAGTAAACCTCCAAAGTATCACTTCTTCAGCTCACAGACCTAGACACAACAACCGAGTACTATATCTTTCAAAACGCTGAATACTGAAGTAGCAGTGTTGTGTTTATTGTATCAAATTTCACAAAGGCAATTTATACTGATTTTAGACAAGTGTTCTATAAGCCGTATCAAAACAATGAAATTGTTATTTGTGAAGTAAGTAATTATTCGAGATATTTTACTGTACTACATCTATCTGCCCGTGACAACGAAAGTGCGAACTCGCGACTCTAATATTGTAGATTGTTATGCGTTTTAAATATTATACGAGCAGCTTTAAAATTCATTCATAGATGGCGCGCGTGTTTGCTACATTGGCTAGTCTTCTGGACATTGAGAATGCGATCATAATTTTTCTTTTTCATTAATCATAGATTATAAATACTGAAACGAAGGCATTTAGAGTTTAGCCTAACAACCAATGCAATCTTATATCTAAACGAGCTTATGACTTTCTTAAAGTTAGAAGTAACTGAACAACAAGGTCTGCAAGAGAGTATGAAATTAACTGTACATCATCCGGTAGGCACCAAGAGAGTATGTAATTAACTGTACATCATCCTGTAAGCACCAAGAGAGTATGGAATTAACTGTACATCATCCGGTAGGCACCAAGAGAGTATGGAATTAACTGTACATCATCCGGTAAGCAC